ACGATGCGAGGAGTCATGAGCATGAAGGGCCGTCGTTGATCAGTGGATTAGACTGCCGTGCACAGGTGAGGCCTCATAATCAGCCTTACATGGGCCATAGATGCGGACACGGCAGTTACGATAAACAGTCGAGATGAGGGACAACGACCATCGTTATCAGGGTGGGCGTTGTATCTCTAATGGGAATGATACCACTGCGTTGGTAATTTACCTGCAGCTAAATCATGCCGACGGGTTATTTATGCATATCGGAGAGAAAGGATCATTCACAGAAATGGTCATTGTATCGCCATTGCAATTGTACTTAATGGAAGCTGAGCTCCAAGGGAAAATGCGTTGTGACGACGTTTGTTGAAAAAATGATCTCATTTGTTGAATCTGAGGAGTGTAAAGCAAAAACGTCAATGATTGATTTTTCTGGGTGGAATTTGCGTTAGATATTCTGCAGAAGCTGTTTTATTATTAATCAATACCGAAGAACGCCAAAATATGCTAAAGTGGGATCTCGCGCTTGATCTTGTTAAAAACCAAACAACAAAATGCGAATCGATGATAGTCTGTGGCCTCGAAATTTTGCTCACCTGTACAAAATGCTATGAGCAACATGCCACCGGAAGATGCAAATGGATTAGACAAACTCTTCGTGAAAGTCGCAACTTCGGAAAACCTCTAGTTTTGGCAAATTAATTTGGGTATACTGCTACTGAGCGATGTTTTAGGTTTTAGGTAAAATCGGCCAGCTGGACTGCGTCAACTCTGCTGCTTTAAAAAATCTATTGTTGGGGTTCCCCATTTTTCGTAATTTGAATTTTCTTGACATCTGTCAGACAAGATACCTCTTGTTTTGCCCCCGCATTTTGTTTTGGCACACCGTCTTCGAAGATTAAAGTCTACATCGAGTAATTCGCAACCGGCTATTTGCACACCGAAATTGATTTTGCCGAAACTATTGGGGGTTTCGATGTTGTGCTTCTAATGACGAGTTAGTGTAATCCATTTGCACTTTCCAGTGGCATGTCGCACGTAGCAATTTGTTTAAGTGAGCGGAAGTTCAAGGTCACAGACCATCACTGGTTTGCAATTTCTTGCCGGTTTACGCGACATAGAACAAAAAATCGCACTTTAGATTGCCTCGCACTGCTCGGAATTAACAAATGGGGTGATTTTTTCGGCGAACCTGTTTCCAACACATTTTCATGATGAATCTCATATTCCATTAAGCGCAATAAGGCTAGACATATCTCTACTCGTTTTCACTCATCTGGAATACTTGTTGCAAATGCTGGGCCCGCGTCTATGCACAACGTTGATAATAAGACTGCACCCATGCACAGTAACATAATCCGATGTCCAATGACGGTCTTTCATACTTTTAACTATATGCGATGCCGTTCTTCTTCGCTACCTATAGTAAACATCAGTCCAACATATATGCGGATTGGTAAAAACAAGGCCTAAACTATGTGTGATAGGCTAATCTGACGACCTGTACTCGAAGTCACCTAACTTGGCTTTTTATCGTACCTTTTGATTCCCTGTCCTTGTGCAGCGTTGATTATGCGCGGTAATCGAATCCATCCCAATCTGTCATACTCATACTTACGCGGTGTCGCTGATGTTTGTTACTAATTATAAAAACCAGGCCAGTATTTATACCGACCGATGAATTCAATGGCTCAGCTATGCATACTAACGTAATCTAACGTCAAACATCATACTCATAACTGTACGCAATATTGCCCACCTTAGATACTCTTTGTGATTCCTAGGCCGGTGTTTATATACTACGTTGATTATTAGGCCTTAGCTAAGCAACGGCAAACGACGGCCTAGTATACTCACAACTGTGGTCGACGTCACCTACGGTGGCTACCTATAGTAACTGCCAGGCTCATACACCTGGTGGAGGCTGACCATAACGCCCCAGCAAAACAGTAGACTAACCCAACGATCAGCGGCGGTCATCACCAGTCAGACAGCAATCAGAAATAATACAACTTCGAATGCACAGCTGCACATCCCAGGCCAACAACGTCTAAAATGTCTTCCGTTGTGGCTCTGTCCACAAACCGGAGTATGTCACTGCAGTGGTGGCACGGCACTGTCATACACAATTTGATAGCACGCTCCCAACTATTCACTTCCTTCTCTTCATTGTACCCTCTCGACCGCTCCTTATATTACCTGCAACAATGAGCTGTCACTCACCTCGTTTACTTATCGTGACTGCTATGCGTGTCGCTGGTTATGAGACCCTACCTATGCACGGCAACCTAATACAATGGTCAACGACGCTGCTTCATAAACATAACTCCACGCGCTGATAATGCGCCCGCCATGAATTAACGAAAAAAGCATTGGCGAATTGCATTTTTATTCATCAGCATTGCTGGTACAACCGTAATTGGCAGTTGCTCCAGTTTCCATTTTCTGAGGACCAAATTCACGGGACAAGGATTATGAAACGGAAAATGCACAGGCGATTATGCTT